AGCAGTGCAGCAGTGTAAGAATTGTGCTAGTGCAGTGAAGGAACAAATGCAAGTCCTTCTGCTTCATTTTCCTTCTCAAGGGTAGCAAGAGCATCTCACCCTTGCTACAGGGCATGACTGCTGCTTGTGAAGTGCTCCGAGATCTCAGGAGTGGAGCTATCTTATCTTATAACCAAAAGAATGCAGTACAGTGTGGCATAATGGCACCAATCCCGTGTCTGCAGAGGCCTGGCCTGTGTGTGCCCTCGGCAGACCTGAGCACACTGCCCAGCGCCATGAGGTGCCCTGGGGGACAGGGCCAGGCTGCCCCACAGCTCCACCACAAGCCGGAGCAGGCACTGTATTACACACCAGCAACAAAAGAGCTCAAACTTTCATCAGGAAGGACTTCACCTGTATCCCAGCACAGCTGCCAAATCAAGCCCATCAGCTGGCAATGCAAGGACACCAACCAGCAGCAGCTCTTACCCATGTACGGCTTCGTGCCAGCGATCGTGGTGACTTGTGCTTCCTTGGTCAGCATCGTGGCAATGTTGAAATCAGTGATGTGCACGTGTCCTGAAAAACAGTGGTTAATGCATAACTTGATCTGCTTTAATTTCACACGAGGAGCAGCTTTGAATCAGAAACATAAACTAAATTATTCTATGGAAAGGAATCTCCAGGAAAAAAGGAATTCTGGTGGGAGAATTGATAAAAATATTCCTGCCTGCAGGCTGGTCACTGATGTATCTTGTTACAGCAAATACTCTCTTTTTACCCTTTGGGGAGCAAAAATCTTGGGAGTTCTCCAAGTAGTCATTCAATAGTGATTATTTTGATTCTTTCTAAATTTTGGGTGAAAGAGAACTGAACTTTCCTCACCAGAAAAAAAATCCCCTATATCAAAAGTCTGAAAGTTGATGCTTTGGTGATGAACTTCTGATGTCATGCATGGATGCTTTGAAACATTTCTGTAAATGATTACAATTGTGCCTCTACATCTGTTATCAGGGTGGAGTTTGTCTGCTGTGCTGGGGTTGGACCTGTCTCCACACTTTCTGGGCTGCCAGTGCCACCAAAGCACAGGTATCAAAACTGCAGTGCTTGTAGGTGGGGGTTTGAAGGAAAAAAGGAAAACCTGGGGCCCCTCTGGAGAGCTGCTGGGAGAGCATGGGTCAGGTGCACAGGGCCCTCCTGCTACCAGAGACCCAGTGTCCAAGGCAGCACTTGGGAGGAAGAGTGACCCGCAGCTGCCTTTCCTGGTTACGTGCTCTGTGTCCTTCTGTTTCTTTTCTTTCATCTCTAGCTCTCAGGCCACTTTGTAGGGAGCTGTTTTCATAAATATGAATCATAAAGGCTTACTAAGAATTTGATATTCCAAGCACAAGCCTTTCTCTGGATGCATCCTTTAAATTATTCACTTCAAATAAATCACTAGCCCACTTGGGAAAATCCCCACATCAAGCCAAGGAGGCCCAGGGCTCTGCACAGTTCAAGTTGGCTGAACAGGGACTGGAGGTTAGAGCTGGGGTGGACTGGACCACCAGACAGCAGCTGCTGGTAGCCAAGAGGGAAGCATGGGATGCTGCTGCTGGGCTTTAGGGTCAAACTTCAAGGCTGGTGTTTTCCCAGCTGCTCAGCATCTCCAGCTGTAGCCAGTGTGGAAACAGCTCAGCCAGGCAGTGCTGCAGGTACCACATCCCTCCCCAGGCTCATCCTGACTGCCCCAAACTGGCACTTCAGGTCAAGCCTTTGGTTCTGCATTAAGGGAAAGAATTTTCTTATTATATTCAGCACCTCTACTGTGTGATTCCTTCACCTTTCTGGAGCATCTTTTGTGCAAAGAGTATAAGGCTTCTGCAGATTTGACTAAGAATATTTTAAAGAAGATGAAGCTAGAGATGTCAGGAGCTGTGGAATAGACAGGCTGTTGGGCAAATGGTGCTGTAGCTTCCTTCACCTGAGACGAGAGAACAAATGGCCTCCCAGTGCTGTGCCTGCATTGGCACAAACTCACCCATTTTAGTGCTGCCCTCGAGAACCTTCCAGCAGCAGTACAAGAAATAATACTGAGCAAAGCTATTACAGGGCTCTTGCAAAAAGCCTATTGGTCTTACTGGAGTTAAAACTGAGCTTTTCTTCAATTTTATTAGACAAATGACCTCGCCAAAATCTCCTGATGAATGAGTCACAATTCCTGGAAACTACCATCTGTTATATTATTTTATTCCCAGGTGAGCTGTGCTGTCTTTGAGCCAAATCAATAGACTCATCATTAAAGAGGAAAATCACTTTTGAGCTTGGAATGACTGTTGGAGGTGGTCATCTGCTGAGGATTTTTCATTGTGGGACCTGAGCCAGATCTTTGAACAACTGCTTTATTTATTGCCCAGAAAGACATTTGCCTGATATTCCACTTTGTTTCTAGCTCACTTCAATTTCTTAGCTGAAATTGATATGGTAATACAGAATGTCACTGCCCAGGGTGGCAGAGGCAAATGCATGAGGGGCATGTTAAAGTCAGGACAGTTGGGAGCAGGACAACATTTCATGTGTGGCATCATGAGAGGCAGTTGTACCATCAGAAACTGGACCATCCCCACACACAAAGACCAGATGATGTGCACATCCTGCAGCCTCATTGGAGATCAACACCAGCCAAGAGGGCACTGCAGTGTGACAGACGTGGGCACCTTCAGTATGTGAGTCTGGAAGGGTGAAGGAGTCACAGCTGGGAAGGAAGATGGGCTGAAGGGCAAGAAGAGTCTGAAAAGGAAGGACTGAAGTCTGATAAATGATGGTTTCCAGGTGCTTCATACTCTCAGGGGTCTCATCTCAGTCAAGAACATGCTAAAAAGTTGATGTTATCAGATAGCATATGCTTTGTGATCACAGTTGTGGAAGCCTGGTGAAGGGAGGGGAGTGAGGAAAGAAACACTGAAAAACAAGCACCATCTACTAGGGTAAATATAGATAAATATACAATGATAACAGTTGCTCTGGGGGCAAGAAAATGCTGAACTCTGTGTGCCCAGTGCTTTCTGTGTGCATCACACCTTTGTTGCCAGAGATCAAGAAAAGAAATACTATGCCATAGTCAGAAGGACACTGAAGTCAAGGGCACATCCACAGAAAATAACCAACTCCTCTGCAACAGACAGTTAAAACATCTCAGCAAGCAGAGAATGGGCTCAAAAATGAGCCCAAATTGCACTGTTATTATACAAGTTTGCAGGTTATATCCTGCTGAGCTGAAGGCAACTGCAGAGACAAGCAGAGGTTTTTTTCCCTGTGTTTTTTCCTTCCTAGAGGATGCTGACCTACATTTCTGTAGCTCTAGTGCTCCCAGCTCCCCTGTTGAGTGACTCTTATCACCCTGTCCTATGCAGAGGCTGGTCCCTCTGCAGTGCTCTGCCCATGGGGCAGGACCCAGTGGGGCAGGAAAGGCTGCTGCACTTGGAGGCAACAGCAGCTTTGCTGACAGCTCCTAAATAAATAATTAGCACTTTGAAATTAGAGGTCACATGCAAAATGAGGAGAGTCTGAGCTTGGATGCTGCCAGGCAACCTTAGTCACCCATAAGAGACACTGTGGCTCCTTGTGAGCTTCAGCATCTCTGTTACAGCCCCTGAGGTGAGAATGGATTCAGATCTGCCTGGTCCCTGCACTGCCTCTCTCTGAGTGCCTGGCTGTAGCTGCTAATGAAGATTCCTCACAAAGCCAGTTACATGGATTTGCCAAAAATACATGATGAAGTGTTTTTTTAATGAGTTAAAGGCTAGTAAATATCAGACAATGCTTCACTGTGAGAGCTTTGATGGTAGAAAAAAATGTGTCTAGAGAATAATGCAAAAATAGAGTTTTCCCTGAGAAAAAGGCTAAAGAAGAATTGATAGCAACACTTATACCCAGCACAAATCCTCTTCAGAGGTTCCTCCCAATGTCAAATGCTCAAAGAAAAAAGTCTGAATGAAGATTATCTATTTAACAATAATTCCTTCTGTTTGTGAGCAGACTTTATACCCAGCCTGCAATTTCATGAGCATTTCCATTCAAATAATTACATTTTGAGTATGTTTCAAGCAAGAGCCAAGAAGATCTTAAAATAAGGTCTGGTCAGCAACTGAGAACAGCAGCACAAGATGTGTTGTCCCTTGTGGGGACACCATCAGGGCTGGTCAGAGGAGGTGTTGGTCCAGCTCTGAGGCACCCCCAGCACCAGGGCAGCCCCACAGGAACACGCTGCTGCTGCTCCAAAGCAAAAGGCAGCAACCACAGCAGGAAAGGACAGTTCCATTCCTATCTGAACTGCAGGACAGAAAGGAGCACAAGGAGAGTAAAACCACACCTGAACTGTAAAGTGGTTGCCCTGTTTCTGCCTCTGCTTTTACGAACAACTACAAACCAGCTGGTACTTACCATGTTCATCCAGTAGAATGTTGTCAGGCTTGATGTCTCTAAGAAAAAAGGTAGAGAAGGAGAGACAGCCATTAGCCTGGAAAAGTGACATGAGAGGCAGCTGCAGACACCTGAGGAAAGCCCAGGCTCTGGGGGACACACTTCCAGAAATGTCATGTCCCAGAAGGTGTCTTTGCTGGGGCTCTATTATTTCTGCAGGACTTGAATTGAGCACAGGAGGCAGACTAATGGAACAGCAAGGGCAGCAGTGGTGGTGCAGGGCTGTGAGGGCTGCTGCTGTTGGGTCTGGCTACACCCAGGCAGTCCACCTACCATGTTAGAGCTTCTTATCTTTTCCCTCCTTTTGCTCTTTGGTCAGTTTCAATACTATATTGACAGGTCTTCTTCTTTTACTCAGTAAAAAAGAAATTATTTTAACATCTTTGTTCTTGAAACAAATGGGTTCCCTGCAGGTTTTGTTCCAGAATAAAACAAAACCAAACCAAACCCCAGAACAAAATAATAATACCTGTGGCAATGCTGCAGGGAAATACTCTCCATTGAAGGGAGACACCTGATATGCCTACTGTATCCACCCGAGTGACTCTACAAGACATTACCTGTTTTTAATGAGCTAATTACAGCAGTCCCATTCACTCCCACCAGCCTGAGCCAGGCACCTGGTGCTGGAATGTCCCATGGGGAGACTCACACACACGGCAGGAGCACAGACAACAACCTGGCACCAGCCTGATGCTCCTGCCAGGTCTTCAAAGGGAAGAAATGAGGGGGTTTAGGGTTTTATCTTTAAAAATGCAATCACTAAGAAAAAGTTTGAATTCACTAAGCCATCTGGAATGAAGAAAGGACAATGTATCTAATTATTTTTCAATAGCTTGTAGTTTTCTGGCATCTTCCCACCAAAACTACCTCCAGTGGGCTATAAAACCCAGTGAAATTAACAGCTATTTTCTACTCTTCTACCTGTAGGTAGGAAATAATCCAGCCATCAATCTGCATTTGCTGTCTCTGCACAGCTTTGTTCAGACAATCAGCAATCCCTTGCCTGTCTCCTGATGTTCCTGCTACAGGTGCTGCAGTGTCACTGCCTCAGCTGAGTCACTTTATCAGTCCAACAATGTCCCACTGGGTTGCAGTGTTAATTAAGCAACTTGCACTACAGTGTTAATTAAATCACTTGCAAGTTTTGTAGGCTGCCATACATGTTTTTTTGTACTTAATTCACCTTAAACCCACAAGCATTGCAGCCTAAACTTGAGCTCCTCCCACCTGTATTTACAAATAACCCCTGGGCTGTTCCCCTGGTACCTGCCCCAACCTGCAGCCACAGTGGGACACCCTGTGCTCCCTTGGCTGTCCCAGCTTCCATCACTGCAAGGAACAGTCTCCTCATGCAGACTCATTCTCACAGCATTGAAACATGAGAACCTCCAGCCAAGTAGTCCTATAAACACAGCTACTAACTGCAAGACATCACTGACAGAGAAGGATTTCTTCCTTCTGCTTCCCTCACTCCTGTGTCCCACCCAGTTTGTTCAGGCCAGGCCAACAGTGTGAGGATTTACCCCTCACTGCCCAGGACAGAGACAGCCAAGGCAGTATTGCTCCATGTTTAATTCATGCTCATCCATTATTTGGTGCTGGGGAGCAGGTGCTGGGCACAGAGGGACAGTGCCATGTCCCTGTCACTGCCAGCTTTGTCTCCCAGAGCACAGCAGTGGCTGCTGGAGCCTGAGCGGGGCAGCTGGGCTGTCCTGCCTGCCTAGATCAGGTGTATCAGAGTGGAAATCTATGCAGGTATAAAACAAAACAAGCAACAGGAAAGGTGAGACTCCTGAGAAAGCAGGAGCTAACCCCAAGAGGTCTGACTCCAACCAAAGCAGGGCAAAACCTCTCTGGGCTCTCCCCAGCTGCATAGGACACACAAACATCAGCCTTTCTGCTTCCCCATCTTAGAAACAGCAGCCAAGCCCCTTGGACCCCCAAGGTTTGCATCACCTGGCACACCAGGAGGAACCAGCTGCATACCCCTCCTCCTGGAGCCAAACCTGCCTCTCAGCCAGGGAAAAACTCTGCCTCCTCTGCTATTTAGCAGGTCTTTGGATGTCTTGGAAGAGCTCAAATATCTTTCCAGTGGCTGTGAAAAATCTTGGTGTCCAAAAAGAAACTCTCGCTACTTTTAGAAAGGGATTTAACCTCACAGAGAAAAAAACTGGGTTTGGTCCCATTCCTGGTTTCTAGTTGTGCTACAGAGAGGGGAGCAAAAGGGAGACACCTTGGAGGGTGACAGCAGAGGAATTCAGAATGCTGATGCCTACCCTCCCTGGACCAGGATGGATATTAATGAGCTACAGCTGATTAAACCTATTAGAGACAACATTTTGCAGGATCACCAAACAAACCAAATAACTCTATATCACAGTTATCCCAGGGGAGAAATAACATGCTTCCTGTTGTATGTGAAGCACTTTTCTCAGGGAAGCCCTGGAGTTTTACACAAAAACAAATGTATGTGGCAGAATATTTTGTTTAGCTCTTAAGCTTCTACGTGTCTTTTCATGTCAAAGAGGAACCAGTCTGCCCCTGCTGCAGTCTACAAGCATGGGTCCACCCCTGAGGACCCCAGCTGACCTGTGGATGATGTGCCTGCTCTGGAGGTAGTCGAGGGCCAGCACCAGCTCACAGATGAAGAGTTTCACGGTGCCTTCTTGGAACCGCACGTTTTGCCGGAGGTGGTAACGCAGGTCCCCCCCAAGCAGCAGGTCTACAACCATAAACATATCTTCTTCATCCTGGAATGAGTACCTGAAATGGCAGAAGCACTTTTCAAGGATGGCAATATATAAAAAAAAGACAGATCATAAAGGGACATAGAGTAGCTCTGGGAGTACTCAAATACTCAGTATCACAGTGGAAATCCAGCTGGAAGCCCTGGATAAACACTGCCACTCTTGGGGCTCACACTCAGCTCTTCAAGATGGACATTTTGTCTTCTCCAAGCAGCCCAGGGAAGTGACTCCAGGAGCAGTGTAGAGAGGAGCCCCAAGTTAGGCACAGCCCTGCCAGAGCCCCAGCCTGTGGGCTGCTCCGAGGCACAGACCTGGGCTCTGGCTCCAGCCTGTCCACAGACCCGTTTGCTCAACACCACAGGGGATGCAGCTGCTTCTGCTGTTGCTCTTTAGGTGACCTCGTTTGATGTCACTGTTTACCAAGTGTCCCTTTGAGATAGTCTAACGATCAGCAAGGAGCTTTTTTCTCATGGATTTTTCCTTCCCCTGACACCAGCTTCTCGGTGGGATGAGCAGCACCAGGAACTAGAATTCTGCCCCACACCAAGCCCGAGGTCTGGTATCGCTCAGAGGGCAGGATTGCTAACAGCTGTACCTGAGGGCAGGGGGACCTGACAGGAGCAGAAGGGGGGCAAAATCAGACTATTTGCTCTGTACAGGTCTGCACATCTGCATATGCTGTTTAGTTCTCAGCTGCTGAGTGAGTTTTGTCTGGGACTCCTGCAGGTAGGAAAGCGAAGTGTGGAGATATGTCCAAAGCTCTGGGAGGTCTCGCTGCGTGGTTCTCACTCAAATCCTAGTTAGAACAGCAGCAACAAAATAATGAGAGCTCACCTGACAGCACTCAAGTTACAGGATGTTTCAAAAAGGAACACAAAGTTATTCAAAGATTTGGTATCTTCAGTGTGGTTTAGCCTCATGTTTGTTTTCAGCTTTGCTAAGTTCTACCTCATTCTAAAAATTAATCCAATATCCAGTAAATTTACCCACTACCCCAGAGGGAACCTATAACTATAGGATACTGGCCATTAGATCATGTGGTGTGTGTGAGACCACAGCACATGAGATGTTATTGGTGTCCTAATAAAATTAACCTTGCAGACTCTAACAGTAACAGTCTTATTTAAAATTTCTTTATACTGCCCCACTGCAGGAAAACATGCTGAATTAAAGAAGGGGGAGGTAGCAGTGTGTCCTTAGCACTCATCAGCATCTTACCATAAATTGACTAGGAAAGGGTGTTCCAGACCCTGCATGATCTGCAGCTCCTTGAAAACATTTCTCACTTCATTACGCTCCACACACTTCTGTTTATTCATGTATTTCATGGCATACATCTTCTTGGTGTCGTTCTTTTGCACAACACAGACCTAAGGGAGCAAATGAAGGGATAAATCAGAGATGATTTGTCAGTGAATTCTGGCAGGTAAAACAGTCCCAGGAGCATTCTCCAGTGGCTTGGGCAAAGCCCACACTGCCAACTCACAGCTCCCTGCACTGACACTGCAGCCCTGGACATCGCCAGTAAATACCTCACCCAGTTTTCAGCCAAAGAATAAATTTTTCTGGGGGAAGGGTGAGGGGAAGGAATTTATCACCACAAAGGCAGGAGATAGTGAATTGCAGATAAGTCAACATTTTCTGTAACAGCAGTAGCTAATCTTGGTCATGTCCATCCCTTCCACACCAGTTACTGTTTGAAAGAGTCCTTTCCACCACAGAACTACAGGTTAGAAACTGGGGAGCAGGACCTGATCTCCCCAATCCTCATAAAGTTCATTCAGCTCACAAAGAACCTTGGGCTTTGTTGGAGGGGTATGAGGGTTTGAATTTTAACCTTTCCTAGAGTTATATTTAATAAAATTTAGAACTAAATGGTGCTTCAATGAACGACTCAGAGTTTGTAAGAGCAAAAAACAGCACACTGATTTTTCAGATTTTTTTTTCCACAACAGTTTATGAGTTTCAGATGAATTTGCAAAATTTCAGTAAATCTTTTTCTTCTGCTGCTAAATATTTCCCTGTGTCTAGACATCTTTGTTGTACTCTGCACCCAAGGCACACTCCTTTTCTGGCATGAGTGTGCCCTGATGTGAAAAGGCAAATGACCTTCTAGAATTCTATCAGGGCATAGAAGTGTGGAATCCTCTAACAGCATAAAAATAAAACCAACCTATGACAGTAACCTGATGCTTAATAACAGACACTTTGTTTCACAGAGAAATGTCCCCTGAAAAAACCTGCCAGGCCCTTCATGTTGACTGTAGCTCCTTATTAAAGATCCATCATGATGCTCAGTGTTGCTTCACTGGGGAACCTTAGAAAATGCTTATTCAGAAACATAATGAAATTCAGCTCATTTGGTTTACCAGTATCCCATTTTAATCTCCTGTAATATAATTTGTAGCTATGGAACAGATGAGGAACCAGGCTCTGATTCTTTCTTGATTACCAGGAGTTGAAACTCAGGTCAAAGCTCCCAGACAATGCAGAGTTTATTTCTTTACTCTCATGTGAGCCTCTAATTCGCCCATTTCTCAGTTACATTTCCAGATGTCCAAAGGGTGATTAGTTCAACAAATACTCACTTTTCCAAAGCTGCCCTTTCCAATAGCTCGTAGAATTTCAAAATTATCAAAGGTGACTGCAAGAAAGAGCAAACATTCAAATATTAATGGCTGAGCAACCATTTGAGGATATTGCATAATTTCTACTTTTTGTCCATAAGAACTGAGAAAACCTAGGGAAACTTAGCAACTTCCTGTTGCTTTTGGAGACATGGGTGCTGTTTGAACTTGGTGTTTAACAGACTTTTTTTCTTTCCAGCTCAGTGACAAACACAATTTCCCTCGTTCAGCCTTTTTCCATGGCAAATAAGGCAAGAAACCATCCAGAGAATATTTTTACTCTGCCCTACCCATTAAACATGAAAGTCTCATCTTATTCCTACTGAAACCAAAAGCAAAGTTTAGTGCATTAGATGTTTGTACTTTGTGAAGACATAAATGCTAATGCCAGTCCTGGACCCACACACCAAGTGTCCAGTCATTGGGGGAGCCAACAGGCACACCAGTGTGCAGGTCTGTTTGCACAGACACGCTGCTGTGCCAGCAACTTGGCCTTCAGGCTGCAAAGCTTTCCCTCTTCACGTTCTGAGGCCACAGCCTGGCTTGGAAAGTGCAGCTCTCAACATAATTGTCTTCTGCCACTTTCTTCATTAATTGAAGTGAATGGCACAGAAAGCAAGAGGCGTTTGTACCCAAAGCTTTTTAACAGATGAGATTGCAGGCAAGGAAGCTGCTGCTAATCACTGACACATCCACAGACCTGTAATAGAGGTCAGAATAAACCCTTTTTCCCTGGGACATGTCCTGCCTCTGAGCTAAGACCAGGATAACAGGGCAGACACGCACTAAATCATTGCCACCACACAACTTTAGGGAAGTGTACTCAACTTTGCTAGTGGTTTGTGGAGTTTATTTATTTATTTGACAAAGTGCATGGTTTCTCCAAATAAAATAACCAGGCAGCGTGGGTTTCATTCAACAGAAGCATGATGCATCAAGGTTACCAAACTGCCTCAGCTGTACACCCCACTGCCCATGCCCAAGCTTCCTCCAAAAACATGGCTGAAAACAGGCACTGCACACCTGACCAGGAGGGTAATACCTGCTGGGTAACCCATTCTCAATGATATTTTAGAACAGGCACAGTAAATTAAACAAGTTGTTCATCTCATTGCTGTTATCTTTTCAGGTGGGGGGCCACAATCAGCCAAAGCAGTTTAGGGTTTCCAGCTTTAGTGTGTGGAAAAAAGACCAGCTTTTAGGCACAGAAGCCCTTTTTCAAAGGTGGAATAACAGTGAGTGAGGATGCTGATGGCCTGCAGGGAAGGTGAGAGGGGCAAGCAGCCCCCTGTGCCTGCCCGGGGGGGGCAGCTGCCGGGGGGGCGGGGACTGGGGTCCCAGCACAGGGCACTGTGAGAGGGGGCAGACACCAAGTGCAGAGGTCCAGCCAGATGCTGACATCTGGAACAGCTGTAAACTCAGAGGAGTTAAGCTGGCAGCCAGATTTTGCATGTAAACACCCTCTACTTCTATTGTCTTTTGCCAGGAATTGCTTTCCTGAATGTGTTAACACCCTTGGCCTCCTTGTCTTTTAGTATTAATGTATTCTTTAGCATTTTAAACACAGGTCTGTAACTGGTATGGTTGTAAGAAAGCTAAACTGCATACTTTTTACTTAAGGCTCTCAAACTAGGTACAATCACATTTTAACCTCTCTCTGTGTTAGCTTTCCTACCATCCCCAGTTTTCATAGTGAGCCAGTCCAGACATGCACTTCCAAAGAGTACTGAAATTTGCAGTGTCCAAATCAGGAACCAAACACATGCTCTTCATCCCAAATCCACACCTACAGATTTGACAAGCCTCATTTCACTGCCTGGTGGCATCTAAAATAACAAAAAAGCCAAAACATTTGTCCTTCAGAGAGAAAAATAATGTGATATGCCAACTCAGACAAATTATGTTTAAGAGATGCCAAGGAAGATAATAGAGTTGCTGTAAAGAACCAACTGAAGCATAAGCATGAAACAGCATTCTGAAAGAAGGAGTTGTATTTGTAAACCCTGGTTGAAGGAACAATATTTAGATAGAAAACATCACAGTCCCTGCACTGCTGGACTCTGCAGTCCCAGACAACAACCAGGAAAAGCTCTTACCCTCTTCACTGCCATTGCAGCGCGGTGACTTGCTGGAGGTGTTTGCTCCCATGGCGCCCTCAGCCCCGGCTCTGCTCTCTCCACCTCTCAGATGTGTCACCCCCAAAGCCTCCGGGATGGTGTTACCTTGGTCAGCCCCAGCAGAGCTCAGCAACCTTCTGCTGCTGCATCCTGGAGAAGGCAAGAGGCAAAAATTCATCATCATTCAGGATACAGATGCCTTTTGCAGCTTGCCAGTTTCTCACTGGGGGTTCACTGCTCTGGAGACAAAACTGAGTATCAGGTAAAAAGCACATTATAATGGAGTTTACTGGTGAAACCCAGTACAGTAACATCATAGCCTTGCAATCTAGACCAGGACTGCTGCCCAGTAAGGGGCAGGAGTGAAGAAACAGCCTGAAAAGATCTGAGGATGTGGCTCACTTTTGCTGTATCATCCAAGGTATTCTATTTTGTAGCTTCAATGATTTAGAGATGATAAAGCATGACTAATTGTTGTAAGGTCAATATCCAAAATAAATGGACGTGGTGACTTTGCTAGATAAAATCAGAAAGGCCCTTTTGACTGCTAAGGTCATATGGAACTGTAAAAGCTGTATAAGAAGAAATTCCAAGTATTAACCTCTTGGTTTAAGCTGCTACAGAAGTCTTTCCTTCAGGGCAAAAGAATAGACTTTTGTTGTTGCTGTTGGTTGTTTGTTGTTTTTTTTTAATGAGAAGATTTAATGAACACTCAAGGTGTGATTACCATTCAGTTTCTTAAAAAAATTTTCATATGAACAAGGAAAAAAACCAACAAAACATCTTTTGATTGATGGTTCAGTGCTGGCTGAAGTGGCTGGTTTGCCTCTGACACTGCAGGAGGAAAGGTCTGTTCAGCAGAGACAACACAGGTTTCAGTTTTCCAGTTCTCCCCCAAACCCTGGTGTGGATATACTGGAGCACATGATGCTGTGCACTTCAGTGACACTCGAGGGAGCTTGAATGATCTTACACAAGTTTTAGCAGTTTTATTCTTAAAACACTGACAGGCAAAGCACCCTTATGTGCTTATTTTGATACTAATGTCCCTGTGAAAACACACATTTCTGTTGGAAGTACAAAACCCTAGAGGAATAAAATGAAGGACTAACAGTGCAGCACAACCTGGACTTCATCCAGCCTAGAGTATATTCCCCAGGACATTCCGATTTTCACTGCACGTTTGAGGATGCAATGCAGCCTTACTAATTTATTTCTCAGATTTACATTCTGGAAACACAGCTACTGAGTAGAGTCCCTTTTTTACTTGAAAGCACAGGCGTGAGAAAGCAGGTGTTTGGGAATGCCCGGGCTCCCGGCTCCGGGGCCAGGCAGGGCCCTTTCACATTCCCAGGCACATTTTATCCTCAACAGATAAACGTAAACCAAACCAAAGCAGAGGAAATGTAAGCACTGGAGTGCTGTGCCCAGGGTTTACAACGGCTCTGCAAGCAGGAGGAAAAGAGCCCAGCAGGAGGAAGGGGGGGGTGAGACGTGCACACAAAGGCCAGCAGCTGGTTGCATTGTTAGTGTTACCACTGGTGGGAGGCTACCGAGCATCCTCTCAAGGGAACCACCAGACCGGAGGGGTTCACAAACAATTTCTCTTATCACCTTCTCGTTGCTTAGGTGCTGGTGAGGGGCAGGGTGCTGCTGCTGCCCTCTTGAAGAGCTGAAACCGGGCAGTAACACGGCAGCACGCGGCATTACCCTGTCACTGGAGTCCCGGAGAAATGGAAGATTAACACGAACTCGTCCGCAGCCACCGCCAGGTCCCCGGGTGTCACCTTCGGGTCCCCAGCCCGTCCTCCGCCCGCGGCCCCG